ATGTTCGTGTGCAAAATGTGTACTATATTGGTAAATGCATATTATTATAGAATAGTAAAATAATATCTTTTATTTCTCTCCATTTAACGACCGCTCTTTATAACGCCGAAAAATGTTCAGTCCCTTAAGTGTCGTTATATAGAATTTACACTGTACTTGCATTTAAAATGCAAATACAAAATAATAAATATCTATTTTTATCTTGCATTCAATGATTTTTTGAGAAAAACATTTTGTATTTTATTTAAAATACATTTCCAAACGTATTTTCAATTTGTATCAAACATTATTATAAAATGTTGAACGAAAGTTGTTCACATTGGCCATTGAAGATATTAGGAGCTTAAAAAGGGGACAAAGAGACATTCCATGAATGCCTTCTAATTCATTAACTGAAGAGAGCTCAAAAAATTCTAAACTTCTTGGAAATTGATAATGTAAAATATTGGATCAATATTGTTTTCCGGGTCCAATATGATGGTCCAAGGAACTTTGAAATTCTAAACTGATATCAGCACTTGCCAAATCACTACTTAGCAACACATTACGAAATTCTATGAATTACGACAAAACAAGATCGAACTGATACACGCCAGCTGCATAAAACTGAAATGCAACCCTATTTTGTTCTGATTTTTCACGCTAAGCAAACTATTCTCTAATTAAAACAGGTGACAAAGGCAAATAAGGAAACATATAGAAGAATTATTTGCAATCTTCGCAGCTGGTGATATAGTGCAATTACTATTAGTCTAGAAAAACTCCAATGTTTAAAAAACAGTGAATGCCTGCAAGGTTTTCGTAGAAAATATTTTATAGTTAAGTAAATGTAGAAAATTAAATAAGGTACTACAAAAAAGTGTTTAACTGAAAAAAATATTTTGAAAATATGTATTTTGCATTCAGCATTTAAAATCTGTTTTGTATTGCACACTTAAAATAACAAATCAAAACATTATTTGGATTTAAATACTTTTAAAAAACCATTTTGCACATCTCTGCCATTAGTCCACAACGTTTTCGATTGTTTCGACTTATATTGGATATAATATTATAATTAAAAAATAAAAAACAGACTGATCTAAATTACCACTATGAATTGATTATCACGGACACGTGTTACGTCCACTTCTTAATATGGGCATCTTATTTATTTAATTTTAATGCATTTCCTTCTATCAAAAGTTGATAACAAATATAAATATAGAAATATAATACAAAAACCATTTTTTTAGCCCACACGAATATCAGAACTCATCAATTCTGTTGATAAAACTAATTGAACACTCATCATCCATTTGAAAACAATAAAACTGATGAACAAATAATTCTGTTTACACTTTAAACTTTCTTCTTCCACCCTGCTACCCTAACATTAGAAGTTCTTATACAATATCTACACATCTTATAAATACGTTTGTTGCAATTGTTTGTTTAATAGTGTGGCATTTGATAAGACAGGGTTGAATACGATTTTGACATATTGTTGGAACGTATGATACTTATCTATAAATCGCTGTTGTATGTACTGCTTTATCTACACCACCATTCAATGATGGTGTATTGAATGGTGGATACAATTGAAAGTAGATGAATATACTCTATTCATTTTCAAAATAAACCGAGGACGTATTCAAAAGAAGAAGAAAAATCCACTATGCTTGTAGAAATTTTAATTTTACTTCATTTTTTAATACAACAAGATTCAAATAATGACTGAATACCACCCTGGTAAATTTTGGTAAGCGTTGTCAGAGACGACATTGAGATTGACCAATAAGGACTGTGTTGTTCTCATACTACTCGGTGATTAGGCGGTCACCTTTTGTTTTGATTTGGCTTATCTTGAAAGTGAACAGAGTATAGAAGGGTATTCAGAATTACGATTTTAGTCTACAAGAAGAAATAGTACGCTATCCTGAACATTTTTCATACAAATAGCTACTTAAATTTTGGTTACTTAAGTACCTACTTTTCTTATGTTGCTTTTTGTATTTACTTAATCTTTAAGTAAATATTACGTAATCTCAAATTTTGTTTATTTTATTTACAATACATTTACAACGGAATGTATAAAATTTTGCACTTGGACATACAATAAGTATTTTAGTGTTTAATTAATTTTCATTTTAAAATCGAATAATCTATTAGGTCCTATAATAAAAGGTATCTACAATATGATGAGCTGTTTAAAAGAATAAAACAGTTATTACTAAACTCAAACAGACTTTCATTTTTCTACATAAAAATCACCTATTGCACAACATTGGAAAATAGTCCAACATTAAAATTTTACTATGTACTTCTTTCTACTTTGTATAGGTATGTACAGTATACATTCACATAAAAGTAAAAGGTTAGGAAGAAGGCTGTTTAAGTGCAACAGTATAAAATGAGCTTTGGCATAAAACTATTTAAAATTTGTAAAATTCCCCTTCCGATGATTTAATTTAAATTTAAAATCTTTCAAGGTAAATTAACACCCTAAGCGACTTGAATAGGCATCGTCTAAATATCTACTACATAAAATGTACGTATACTTGGTTTACTTTCTGTAGCGATGTGACCTTCAGTTTGACCGGCGCATAGTAGAAAAAACAGCACTAGGCCAGAAAAGGAAGGAGACAACTCTCGGCCAAACTCTTAACCGGTGAGGAGCGTATAATCCGTACAGTACTGCACGGAAAAATTGACCATTTTATCCACTACAATTGCATTGCTCAAATGTGCTGTTATTNCGCCGACAAGTGGGGACAATATTGCATGGTCCTATTAAACACGTAATCGAAAACATTGTTCTAAGACGTGAACATAATTATACATATGATTTATCTATTTTAAATTGTTTATTTCTAACTGAAAATAGAAAAAATATTAGAGACCAAAAAGTTGTGGGACGTTATCTAATGTATCTGCTAAAAAACTTGATATTTGACTGCTACTGTGATAAAAGTTATCTTGTCTGGTTTGCATCATTAGTTTTCTCTTTTTGGGATTATCAACTTTATTTTTTCTATGAATTGATCGTCCTGTAAAATATCTCATCTCATCGTGGAGGTAGAAAAAGCAATTATATTTTAAAAGACCAAAGTTATTTCCATTTTACATTTAATAGATAGTTCTAATATATTTAAAAAAAGAAAAACATTTTCATCAGATTATAGAAAACCCAAAAGACATGAAAGAATATTGAATATATGAAGAATCTTTTTTGTTCTATAAACCATAAGGAACAAAAAGAACATGTCTATTTAAATTAGATGAACATTCATTGCCATAGATACACCTTATATCCAGGCACATGAACTATAACATTTTTTAGAGAAAAAAGTTTGATGAGAGTGCGACTGAATGTTCATTCGATTGAACACAAAGTAAATATCAACAAAAAATTGACTACTTGGTGTTTTCAATCTGATTGTCTTAACTTATTTTAACACAGAAACACTTCTCCATTCGAATTTTGAAAATAATGAGTCAGAATTAAATACGTAAACGAAAACATTCAAAGTAAAAATCTACTTAGAAAATAAAATAATAAGTATGTACAGAACATTATCAAACAATTTCTGCAGACAAACAAATTGTAATCGCTTCTAATCAGTTGGTAGCAACTCACGGCATTAAACGCTTTTAAAAAAAATTAATTTCTGCAAAATTACTATCTTTTTAACACTTAACAACTGTTTAACTTCTAAAGAAGCCTTAAGAAAGCGAAACAATTATTGAAGTGTTAAAAATAAAAAATTTTGGAGAAATTAACATTGAGTTTTTAGTTAAGAACTTACATCGAGATTTTTCTGATTGAAATAAATTCAAAAACATGTTTAACCAATGGCGTAGCTATCATATGGCTAGAGGGTGCAATATACAGGGCGCGCTGCACCGGCAAAAATAATAAAATTCATACGAGCTATTATGATTGCTATATGAAATCAATATTTGTTTTGCATCTTTGGATTTATAATTACGTATACGATAAACAACATTTAAACTGTTGGAGTCATTTAACTGGGACCCCAAAAATATTTTGTAGCTAGGCCCCGGTTATCTCTCTACGCCACTGGGTTGAGCATATTTTTAAGTGTAAATTTTCATAAGAATTTTTTTTCAATTTTAATACGCACGCGCTTTACTATATATCAAACCTGCGGCTCGTCTTCAACATTTTTCCATCCTTCACAATAGTTTTACAAAATACATTTATTTTATATTAGGAATCAGATAATTCAAGATAGAAAGAGTAATGGAGATGTAAAATAGAAAGAAAGTGTCAAATGTGTTTGAAATGTGGTGTTACATGTGAATGATGAGGATATCGTGAATAGAGAAAGTTAGAAATCAGGAGGTATTAGAAAGAGTAGGAGAACGGTAGGAGCAATGGAAGTCAATAAGAAATAGATAGATAGATTGGTAGGAAACGTTCTTAGGCATGTGGGGTTGTTAGAGACATTAGAAACAGAGATAGGAGTTGAGAGATGTCGAGGTAGACCTAGATTAAATTACTGTTTACAAATAGTTAAGAAAGTGGGATATTCAAGTTGTAGGGAACTGGGAAGAGTGGAGGTACGTCTCCAATCAATCTTAAGACTGGCCATAATGATAGTGAAAACCAATATATAAAAAATACATTATTTGTGCAACCATATATTCATAAATTAACTAACTGTTGTTATATTGTTACGGCTGTTATGTTAAGTGAGATGAGGCTTTGATAATGGCATAATAGTCGAAATAATATTTTCAGAATTTCAAATAAAATTGTGGAACAAATAATACCATGTGCTTAATTATTTTACTTGCATTAACATGTTGTGGTGTTACAGGCGAATGATGAGGATATCGTGGATAGAGAAGGTTAGAAATGAAGAGGTATTAGAAAGAGTAAGAGAACAGAGGACTCTTTGGAAGTCAATAAGAAATAAGCGAGATTGGCTAGAAGGACACCTTCTCAGGCATGAAGGTCTAGTCAGAGACATATTAGAGGCAGAAACAGAGGTTAGGAGGGGTAGAGGTAGACCTAGATTAGATTACTGTTCGCAAATAGTTAAGGATATGAGTTGCTCTATCTTTAGCAGCTGAAGAGGGTCCTAGTTGGTCCTAGAACGGCCTGACGTAGAGGGGTTTTAGTCGGTAGGTCCGAGGACTTCTTCCTCGGGAATCCGACACTACCCAGTTGTACAGACGGCTGGGTGTCTTTTGAAGATTTCCCCTCTTCCACGAAAACATAAAAAAATCTATCTCTAGGGAAATGCGAAAATTAGCGCAGGATAGGAAAGAGTGGAGCTGCGCGTCCAACCAGTCTAAGGATTGACGACTTAATGACGATGATGACATTAACATGGTTCACCAAGAGCCAAGCCAGAAATTCATTTCATTAATATTAACTAATGAGACCATGATATTTTTTCCTAAGTGGGTCCGAAAGATCATTTGGGTTGGTCACTCCTGCTAAAGATGATGAACAGGGAGTATCGAATGATAAAATTACCATACCATGTCTACATATGTACGTACAAATCCTGTACAGGGATAATAAATAGGATTAAGGAAAATATATTTTGTCTTGTATCGTGAGGATCCACAGCTATTCACATGCAAGTTGTTTGTACTTCTAAACAACAAACAATAAACTGTTAATATATATCAAGAAGAATTAAATACATAAAACGTCAACGAAGTGACTTCATAAAGGTAAAGATCATGTAAGTTCGTATTGTTTCCTGTGCAAGGGATTCATTTCGATTCGGGCTTCGTGTAAGCCACTGCTGTTGTTACTATCGTTCGGTAAGTTGTAGTAATTATTAAACTTAACTGTTCTGTCTGCGTTTTGTTTGCAATACCTGTTCGGTCGATTTAAGTACTGAGGCTGATAAGAATTTGGCGACGGCTTGTAATTGGCGTCCGGTACAAAACCGTCATGATGGTGTTGGGTGTAAGAAGTACGATGAACATCTTGAGGGTAAGTTACCGTTCGATAGGATTGCATCGCGGTCGATGTAAAAGTTGTGACTGTGTGATATGGCAAATTTGAGTTTTGATTGTAGTCCGATATGTAGGCTGGTGAGGGTGGAATGTAAGGCTTGTTTATGCTGTTAATGTAAGCGTTGCTTGTGCAGCGATTGTGGCTGCTGGACTTTGTGTAAATGCTTTCGGTCCCTTCGTTAGCTTCTTTGGGATGATAGTTTCCAGTCTTGATAGTGTTTCGGACAGGGGTGTTATTCAAAGAACGAACACTTGCACTCTGCCAGTTTTGTAGAAGTGCCACTAATCGAGCCTCCCTTTCGATTTTCTCAGCCTCGCTTTCTGAATCGTAATCTGGTCCCTGTAAAAGAAAGAGAAAATTGATGGTAGGTAATCTCCCACGAATCTCCCCGATAGCGAGAGTCGAGAGTAAAGCACCTCGTTTAAACTTGCCAAAAAAAAATTGATGTCGCGCAAATAATAGTTAGTTTTATCTCCTTGTAATCTTGTGACGAGATGATAACCGAACTTAGGGATTTTCTATTACATGCAAGCATCAAAGGGCAGCATCACCTTTTGAAAAATACGCCGTGATATAGAAAATTTTGTACGAATTTGAGACGTCCATTAATAAGAGGTCGGTTCAAAAAGTATCACGAATTTTGAATTTCCGCAGGTTACGTATATTCAATTTTCGATTTTATTGTGGCGTTATGTCTCATGATTCATTGATGAAGTGAAGAAAATAGTATTGGCGAATCGTGGAATCACCATTAGAGAAGTTGTTGAGGACCCAAGCATATCGATTGGTTCCTGCCATTCGAGTTTTACCAATGATTTGGGCATGAGAGGGGTCGCCACGAAATTCGTACCAAAATTGCTCAATTTCGACCAAAAGCAACATCGCATTAACATTGCTAAGGAGCTCTTGGACTTTGTCTGCGACGACCCAAATTTTCTCCAGAGGGTCATAACTGGTAACGAATCATGGCCAAAGCTCAATTATCTTAATGGAAGCCACCGCACAAGTCAAATGTGAAGGTTTTGCTTACAGTTTACAATCCGCCGGAAACGCCAGGATTTGTGGAAGAATAAAAATTGGCTTTTGTGCCATGATAACGTCCCTGGTCACACATCGTTGCTTGTACGCGAATTATTGGTCAAAAATAACACACTAATAATGCCGCAGCCACCGTCTTTCCCAGATCCGGCCCCCTGTGACTTTTCTTGTTCCCGAAACTGAAGAAGCCCGTGAAAGGACGACGCTACACTACGGTTGGGGAGATAAAAACGGCATCGAAGGAGGAGCTGAACAAGATCATAAAAAATGCCTTCTTGAAGTGCTATGAGGATTGGAAAAAATGTTGGCACGTGTATAATGAAGGGGACAAAACAAACATTCATGAATAAATAAACAATTTTTAAAGAAACACAAAATTCGCGATACTTTATGAACAGACCTCGTATACCTAAACATCTAATAAGGTAATATAAACCCAATAAATGCAATTTAAAACTTTGAAGGTGGCTATGCATTGTTCAAAAGATTTTAAAAGTTAGATTACTTTTCGGAGAGAAAAAATATACATTCACCAAATTATTCATTTACCCTCATGCGGCATAAAAAGAAAAAATGTAGTAAAAAAAGGTGTTCCTATGTTTGGTGAACTTTTTGCCTTAACTATACGTATACAGATTAGGAAAGATTTTTACGAGACGAAAAGAAAAATGGATGTAATACAGAAAGTAAAGAGAGATAATTCATATAACCAAAAACCGCAATTTAGAAACCGTTACGAATGAATGACCAAAATAACCGACAAGCAATGCGTACGTATGTAAGTATGAAAAAGGATAGGTACAATAATTAGCACACAAAAATCGGTAGAAAAATTTGTAACAATTCATTCAATTTTGGAGATCGAACTCTCATCGTTTTGCATACTCAAATTTCAAGTTTCCATGAAGGTATTGTTCAATCCCTAATTTATCTACGTATACATGTAATAAAACTGTAAATATTTATCAATAAGCATCACGTAAAAGCTAGAAAATTGCTAAGCAATTCGAATAATGGAACTTTTAGGAAATATAGGGTTTAGGTAAAAGTAATATTTAATTTCTATTTCATTGTAATCGGTTCGATAATATGGGAATTTAATAGTTATAGGGTTGTCCGGAAAGTCATTTCGTTTTTTCCCGACAGAGGATTTAATTGTATTCTTTTGCACCCAACTTCACATTTAAGCCGTATAATTTTTATATGCTTTGAGAGCTCATATAGCAAGGCTTGTGTGTGAAAAATTCCAATTAATTCTACGCAGTAGTTTTTGGTTGGTGCCCTTTTAAATATGGAGAGCGATAAGCAGCATTTTCGACATATCTTACTGTTTTACTACAGAAAGGGTAAAAATGCTGTTCAAGCCAGAAAGAAATTGACTGATGTGTATGGAGAAGGTGTGTTGACAGTACGCCAGTGCCAGAACTGGTTCGCTAAATTTCGATCCGGCAAATTTGATGTCGAAGATGCACCACGTTCGGGAAGGCCGGTTGAAGCTGATAAAGACGCGATAAAGGCATTAGTTGATGTGAACCGGCGAATAACAACACATGAGATCGGATTGAGGTTAAATTTATCAAATTCAACAGTTTATGACCACTTGAAAGGCCTGGGATTATCCTCGAAGCTCGATGTATGGGTTCCCCATGTTCTCACAGAGGGAAATCTGTGTCGCCGCATTGACGTCTGCGATTCGCTTCTCAAACGTCACGAAAATGATCCGTTTTTGAAGCGCATCATCACTGGGGACGAAAAATGTATTGTATACAACAACGTCAAACGCAAGAGGTCATGGAGCAAAAAGGATGAACCGGCTCAAACCATTTCCAAAGCCGATATTCACCAAAAAAAGGTGATGCTGTCTGTTTGGTGGGATTTTAAAGGAATCGTTTTTTCTGAGCTTTTACCGGATAACACAACGATTAATTCGGAAGTCTACTGTCATCAGCTGGACAAACTGAATGATGCACTTCAACAGAAAAGGTCAGAACTAATCAACAGGAAAGGTGTAGTGCTTCACCAAGACAACGCGAGACCTCACACAAGTTTGGTCACTCGCCAAAAGCTTTTACAGCTTGAATGGGATACAATGCTACACCCACCATATTCTCCAGACCTGGCACCATCGGATTATTATTTGTTCCGGTCACTCCAAAATTTTTTAGACGGTAAAACCTTTTCCTCAAATGAGGAGGTCAAAAAACTCCTCGATCAGTTTTTTGCAAAGACCAAAAATGTTATGAGCGTGGAATTATGCTACTACCAGAAAGATGGCAAAAGGTGTTGGACCAGAACGGTCAATATATAATTTAATAAAGTATTTGTTTATTATACGAAAACTGTCTTTCATTTCCACAAAAAAAAAACGAAATGACTTTCCGAACAACCCAATAGAATAAATACTTCACACTGGTCCGTATGTATATGTCTATACATATCGCGAGTCCATTACGTAGTCATCAGATTTTACCATTAAAATGTTTTGATTATAGATAAATCTTAGCATCAATCAATTCCTTCCGAAAAAGTTGTTATTCTTTCTCTAAGTCGTTTAAAACGATATGAATTTAATTCTTGTAATACATTTACATTGTAATACAAGCATTGTACTTCTTAATTAATTTTTTATTCTTTTCTATTTGGAAAAGGGGTGTTCTCCACTGTAATTAGTTATCATCATTCTTAAGAAAATTCTCAATGCACTTTCCACATTAACAATTGTGTTTTTAGTTGTGTTTTGTAATTATTGGCAGGAACCATCAGGCGACCAGCGTCGATCGTGGGACCCTCGGCATTTGCCCAGAGTGCCCAATAGAAAAGATGAGGCTGGGTTTCATGCCTAGCCGGGGAATTCAAAAGGATTAGGAATCTTACATTTAAGAGTTATCGGTTATTAACAAATCAGTTTTAGTTACATTAACAAATAACAAGTATACAATAAGTAATAATAATTTAATAAATGCACAATTTTATATTTAATTACTGATCTGACAAAAATTTCTTATATACTTCCTCCTTCGGTCGAAAGCTGGGTACGCCCATGTCAACACCTTTTAAATCGTTTACTAAAATCACATGAAATGTTACAAAACCTTCTCTTCTAAAAGTTAAATCGAATGCCTTTGCAACATTTCACACATCTTTTACCAAACTTCTACAATCCTTAACCAAAAAGTGATATTTTGGTAATGCTTAACAGAGTTGAATTCAAACACACAAACCTCCATACACTAAAACAAGCTTATGGTAAGTAGTAAATTTGGATGATGATGGGTACTGCTGTTGATAATAAAGAGCTCTTCATACATGCCATTTATTCAAATATAGTAAAAGTTTCTTATTCACGGTTTCTTTATTCGCGTTTTCATTATTCGCGGGTGAAAAAATTGCAACCCAGTCCCTGTATTCGCGGTTAAAAATGTCATTATTCGCGGATGCAATCAGTAAACAGAAAACAATTCGGAGTCATTTATTAAGGGGATTGACCGCAATAGACTGCTCGTGCCTAGTGTAAATTTTTCGAAAAACATGGGTTTCTATTCTAAACATTGTGATTTAACGTTGCGAGATAAGTATCTGATTTTTTGTATGGTAACAGACAAAGGTTCACACTAACTCGGCACGTTTCTAGTTTTCAATAATACGGTCATTAATAGCTTTTACAAGAGCTTAAAGTTGATGCTTCTTGTAAGACACGTATTTTCAATAGAAATTAAGAAATTAAAAAATGGCCTTCGACAGGCTTTAGAACAAAGCTTTATCTATCTTACTACAAAATTTCAAACCTCTGTTCCAAACATTAAACTCATGATATCTAGAACCGATAAGCATGTTTTTACTCTACGGCGCGTGTACTACTGAATCCCCTTAATGTATCGGCATCTTTTGAGTATGTACTGTTGGTACGTGCCGAAGCGACTTTTATAAAAGATGTAACCGAGTGGACTAATTCAAAATCAAAACAAGAAGAAAAGCCGATTATAACGATTAATTTTAATTGCGAATTTCTCAATCAGTTGATTTCATTCTGATACATATTGGTTTTAATTCGGAACCTTAGAACGTATCCCCTATGATTCCATACTAATTACCATTCAATATCCACGGTTTCTGTATTCGCGGCATATTTATGGGACGTATACCCAGCGAATAAAGAGCTTTTACTGTATTGCTATTGGGATCCGACAAATGGGAGGAGCCTAAAAACATGGCGCCGATTAGGGAAAATTTATCGTAGTTCCTATAGTGTACCGTGCAATTTCCAAGTTTTTAAATTACGATAAAATGATAAGTATTGACACATTATGTGATTGGGCTGACACAAAGCCTCGGAAAGGAAATTTCGTTGAAGGTGAGCGTGTTTTTAATGCCAATCACATCATAAAATTCGGAAATAACAAATCCGGAAGCTAGCCTTAAAATTCCGTCAAGTTTACTGCCTACTTTTTACTAACTTCGGATTTAAAAAGTGATTCACGTTATATAATTCGTGAGGTGATTTTGGGTGATTTAAGCAATATCATATCAATGTCTTGCACGTGCAAAGCCGATTTAAGAGAACGTTGCAAACACATTATTGCAACTTTGTTGTATTGCAGCAGGTAGGTTCTTAACCTCAAAATACTTATATCGTATCATTAGAATTGTGTTAAATCAATTACACAGGAATAAATAATTTCTCACTTTATAATTTTAGTATGATTCTAGTTTTAAATATTAAGGTTATGGCTGATGGTAAATACTTGCTGAAATATAATCATGTGCATTAAAATGACGTGAACAAATTTTTATTCCGGAATTCACTTCTTTGATACCTACTGCTTTCATCCAAGCTTCTATTAGTTTACTTTTTTCTCTAATTTTCCGAATATATTTTTTACATATATAAAACGGTTAGTTTTTATTGGAAAGTAGTTAATGTAGGTGAAGAGTGAAGATCTATGTCTGAAGTGCTATTGCAGCTTTTCACTGAACATATTAACTTTTTATTTGATTTAACTTTAGAAGAAAACTTCGTCGACTCCATCATCAAAAAATGTTTACTTTTTTAACGTGTTTTATTATTTTAATAAACAATTTTACAATTTGCATACACAGTTCCTATGTAAATTTTTCCCTCATTCGAGTTATAAATTTTGCCACCAGATGGTGTATGCCCATTTGACGGATCCAAATACGGAAAGTTACTTACATTTAGAGACATTGTTAGATTGTACCGGACTTTGAACGAAAATCAACCCAAGGAAAGTAAGGAAAATCATTTCTGACGGCGTTTCTTAATTCTCTTATCTTTAATTCCTTTCACAAAGCTTCTGGTGCATTTATTATTTATGTGTAGGTTGAGATACAAAACAGAGGTAACAAACTAAAATTATATTCAAGTAACCTTGAGACGGTCCATTTTTTATTTAACAAATACCTTTTCAAATTAGTTAACACAATCGTTTTTAATTATTTCGTCACTGCGAGGAATTTATACTTGAACAAAACGCGCGCAGTACAAAAATGTTTCTGATACATGTCATAAAAAAACTCATGCACATAATTCTTTATTTATGAATTTATGAATTGATAAAAAAGCAAAAGAACGTTCTATCTATGTACCTACTAATGATAATGGCTAGTCACCGAAATACTTTCAATAGGTACTTACGTTTTCAATCTTTTCATCCAAAAGCTTGAAAAAATCCTGTTGGCTAGTTGAAATTTCTCTGAAAACACTTTAAATTATTAGTACATTAAGGCAATAATATTTGTACAAATAAGAATCTCATAAAACTAGAAAATGAAAAGGCGAATTTACTCAGTTTCATAAATAGAAAAAGAGATACGGTAGAGTCTACCAGGTAGATAAAAAACTGCTTCATAATATACATGACAATTGATTTTTTACTAACGTAACTGAAGAAAGCTGGATTCAGATACCGGTAAAACATATCTGGATTTTTTAAAAAGTATTTGAATATATATTTTATAGCACATTAGTTTTCTTTAAAGTGAAATGTTATTTTCTCAAACTGCATTTTGCCTCACATGTACTTATTACTTTATGTGTATTACCTTTAACGACAGTTTAAAGTCTTTTTATAATGTTTACTCATTTCTTTTTAATGCTATTTCAAATTAATTTCAACCCTTTCCGGATAATCGATGCGGAAACTTTATAATTTAATATCTCGTCTAATATATACTTGGAATCAATAACCTCTTAATACTTTATTAGGAAGTGAAGTAAGATACAGGGTGTAACAGAAATAGGACTCCACTGAATATCGTAATACGAAAAAAGCTCTGCAGCTACATGGATGAAGAATGTAAACATTTCCTATTACAGAACGTGTAAGATAAACAAAAAACAATTTATTAGTTCTACGTATAATATTTAGACTAAATAAATTAAATAAGTACATTGCAGGTAGCCCTATGTAAAAGTACAAATACAAAAGAAAGAAAAATATAAGTTACAGAACCTTAAGTATAATCTCGATAATTGTAATTTTATTAAGGCAAATCTACATACCACCATAAAGGTATTGTCAAGACGCGTTACATTTTTGCTGGTAGTTGTAAGAAAAGGATTAACAACATGCGAATTTACGTCACACCAATAGCAATTATTGTGAAAATTTAAAATTTTTGCCCTGCTTAAAGCAAATTTGTAAATGAGGCTATGCAGCACTTTTGCTTCGAAACCATTGATACAAATCCACTCCCGACTGAAAGTTAGTTTCCAGCGAAGCTTGCAATCGCTGCAAATGATAAGGATGCAGCAATTATTCCTTTCAAATTTCTTTAAAATCGAGGATTTCATCCCTACTGCGGCGATATAGTTTAAACCTGTAAGTTGTTACCACTGTTCTTCAGTGACTGACTCACAGTAAAGATTGATGTTGTATTACGGAATTAGTTTTTTGAACTGTACATCGATTGTCTCATACAAGATTTAAACGTTAAAAGAATAAACGACTACTAGAGGTTGGCTATTAACATAAATACCCTGAAGTAAACAATACACGACCAAAAAAAAACAAAACAAATACTAAACTGATACTGGTAATCACCAGCTGATTGAGTGCAGCATTGAGAGCCATGTTTCTTTACCAGGGCCGGAATTTGGGACTTGCAAACAAACATTTACTTAATTTTTATGTTTTATAGAGCTCTATCATCCCCTGCAAGTTCCACACTTATTTCTGTTACACCCTGTATAGATTAAGAAGTTATGATATTCAAAACGATGCAATAATTGTAACAGAGTAAATGTTTTTAGAATAATAGGTAAAGTAACAGGCTAGAGGCCAATGTTCCTTAACATTTCTTTTAAAATTTGATTTAACTTTACTACAAATAGCTATAAGAAACAACTCAAAGTATATTTACAAACAGATACTCACGCTTGAGCAAGTAACGCACCACCGTAGGTTTTAATCTTTGAACCTTTCTTGAAACTGTCGTCCAAATCCTCTGCAGATTCGGTTATTGGATTTAGTAACTTTTCTTCGTTTTCAATTTTTTCTACACTTACTGGTGCTTTAAAAAAAAGTTTAGGTAAATTAGAAATAACTGAATTNTGTACGCCCGTTTGACGGATCCCAATAAAAATATTTTTGCTGAAAAGATACCCGCGTAACCCTTTAAATTCATTGTCACCACAACAGTTAAAGTTTCTAGATAGATTTTCGTTGAATATATTTTAATTTCTGTCCTTAACTGCTTCAATTAGTCAGCAGAAAATTATGGGGTCGTCTATACATTTTGAATAATGCGAAAATCAGCAATTTTTACATATATAGACAGTAGTTAATTTAACAACTTCTAATAAAAGTTTCGGAAAGTTGATTATGACGTACCAGGCTGAGTGCAGGTCGAATAGCAGACTAATCATCCAACCTAATATTAGAAATGCGAATTTGGGTTTTTTCTCTTGTTTGTTTATTACGATATCACGCCTTAATTACTTAACGGATTATCGTGAAATTCTGTACAGACATTATCAGAGGCATAGAAAAGGACATAGGATACCTTTCATTTAAAAAAATACTGTTACGAAGGGATAGAAAAATTATTTTTATGTAGTCGTCGATGATCTTTGACACGTATCAACGTGAGCGAAGTCACGGGTACAACCTAGTGCTTGATTTAAACGTATTTTGTAGAGGTTTCCTTAGGCAAATATTTACCTTTTATTTAAGAAGAATGACAACTGATAACACGCCAATTTTTGGGACAATTTTGGTCAAGATATTAATTAATGTTTGCAATCAACAAGTGCATGAAAAAATTGAATTTGACGTTTTTGTGAGTTAATTTTAAATATGAGAACCTTTGTAATTCAAAAAACTTTGCTTATTTTTTCTCACACTCCCCTTAAAATGAGAATAACCAAAATGTATCCGGTATTTTCACTACTTACAACTGTAGCAACCCCTTAGTTAAAGGACGTCAGACAAATCGATATTTGAACTCGAATGAACTTTTCTTTTTATTGGCCATAAAGAGACTATTTCAGCAAGTAATAGAATTCTGATAAATCTGTCCACATACTTAATCTCTTGTTCTTGTTATTTACGGCCCATAATTCTTAATGTTTACTAGGAAAAAGTGTACTTTAAAAGCAAATTCTCAGATGTATCTTTAAACTTCCGTTTTATAATAAACTTTCACTTGATAACCAACTTTTGGAAACAATTCTCCAAATTGGATCTTAAACTGATGCTGCTCCGATTCGGGTCTAAAGGCTGTTGTGTGTTGGAGTTGTTAAAAGAGACGCGCAAATAGATCCGAGACATTTAGAACAATTGACTTAACCACCCATACGTCAAAAATCTTAACTAGAATTGTACAGAGGAGAATGAAAAAAGGACGGAAGAACTATTAGGGGAAGATCAATTTGAATTTAGAAGAAATAGAGGAACGCGGGATGGCCTCTAGCTTTACGAGTAACAATAGAGAAAACTATAGAAAAAAGAAAGAGTGCGTACATAGGATTTGTAAATTTAGAAAAAGCTTTTCACAATGTTAAATGGGACAAGATGTTAAATATACTTAAAAATGTAAGGACGAGTTACAAAGATAGAAGACTGATACTTAGTTTGTATAAAGAGCAACAGCCTCTCATAGACACGGGGGTTGCAACGTAGAGAAGTAAATACTAGGAAGGCAGTCAGACAGGGATGCACATTGTCACCGCTACTTTTTAATCTACACATCGAAGACGCGATCAACATCATTAAAGACAGTATAACTGTATGGTTAGATATACAGGGACAAAAGATTAGTATGCTTAGATTTACAGATGATATAGCAGTATTAGCATCTAGCAAGGAAGAGTTAGAGATAGCTTTAAATAAAATGGTATTGACAAAACAGTACTGTATGAAAATAAATAAAAATAAAACCAAAATACTGGTATGCAAGGGAAGGAAAAGTAAGGAAAGAGGGAATATAAAGATAGCAGACGAAAAATTCGTTAAAATTAGTGCCCGATTTTAGGTACCTAGGAAGTCAGATAAGTCAGGACGGAAGGAGTAGTAGGAATATAAAGCAGAGAATAGCGTAGCGTCGTGTCGCCTTCAATAAAAAAAAGTCATTTCTATGCTCGCGAACGGTTAATTCAGAAATTTGAAAAAGGTTGTTAAATGTGTATGTTTGGAGAACAGCGCTGTACGGGTGCGAAACATGGAAAGGTTAGAAGCGTTCGAAATGTGGTGTTACAAGCGAATGATGAAGATACCGTGGATAGAAAAGGTTAGAAATGAAGAGCTACTAGAAAGAATAGAACAACAGAGGACTCTATGGAAGTCAATAAGGAATTGGCGAGATAGGTTGGTAGGACACCTTCTCAAGCATGAAGGTCTAGTTAGAGACATATTAGAGGCAGAAACGGGTCTTAGGAGTTGTACTTAAATAGTTCAAGATGTGAGATGTTCTACTTTTAGGGAAAAAAAAAGATTAGCCCAGTATAGGAAAGAGTGGAGATGCGTGTTCTTAGAACTAACAACACATAAGTAGGCAAGAATACAATCTTTTTAATTGGTCCGTGATTTTGAAACCAGCCGTTCGCAAATTTTTGACTAATTACCTTGAACTACTTGAACTTGTAAAATATAAAGTCAATTAATACTGCATTCGATGGTAAAACTGATTAAGCAATTTGCAAATAATTTAGTAGCAATCGTGCTCACAATTTAATTTGGTAATTAGTTACAGTGACGGTCACATCAGTTTAAAGTAGGTCTGCTACTCGCACAAGTGCATTGTGAACTACTGAAACAGAAGCTATCAATTACAATTTAATATCCCATTTCACCCGAATAACTTTATCGGTCAAACTAAGCAAGCAGGTTGTGGAAAACAATAATTCGAAAAGAATTTCTCGTTGATGTAAAATACGAATGAGTTACTTACACTAGCGGCTCGTGTTTTAGTCAAGAGGGATCCGTCAAATGGGAGGAGCCTAAAAACATGGCGCCGATTAGGGAAAATTTATCGTAGTTCCTATAGTGTACCGTGCAATTTCCAAGTTTTTAAATTACAATAAAATGATAAGTATTGACACAATATGTGATTACATATATAAAACGGTTAGTTTTTATTGGAAAGTAGTTAATGTAAGTGAAGAGTGAAGATCTATGTCTGAAGTGCTATTGCAGCTTTTCACTGAACATATTAACTTTTTATTTGATTTAACTTTAGAAGAGAACTTCGTCGACTCCATCATCAAAAAATTTTTTACTTTTTTAACGTGTTTTATTATTTTAATAAACAATTTTACAATTTGCGTGCACAGTTCCTACGTAAATTTTTCCCTCATTCGAGTTATAAATTTTGCCACCAGATGGTGTACGCCCGTTTGACGGATCCCAATAAAAATATTTTTGCTGAAAAGATACCCGCGTAACCCTTTAAATTCATTGTCACCACAACAGTTAAAGTTTCTAGATAGATTTTCGTTGAATATATTTTAATTTCTGTCCTTAACTGCTTCAATTAGTCAGCAGAAAATTATGGGGTCGTCTATACATTTTGAATAATGCGAAAATCAGCAATTTCCGAACTCTCCCTCCCTCTTGGTCTAACCATTCAGATATTAACTGATTCAATTAATCAACAGAAAATTATAGGGTTGTCTATACATTACACGAATAATGCAAAAATCAGCAATTTTTGTACTCCCCTACCCTCTTTGGTCTAACCCCTTTCCCGTTGTCACTCTGTTACGTAACGCGTGAATTTTATATCACATCAGCACGCGAAAGTATACAACATGCTAAAATTTAGACGAAATCGGAGATGAGCATGCCAATCCAGACATTTTCCCATAATTTTGTTTCTAATAATAATTCTGTTAATTCTACAATTCTCCCTCTCACACCTGCATAACAGGAGGATAAACTCCTGCCTGGACTCCGTCTTGTCCCCGTTTAGAGTAAGGGACAACTAGTGATGAGCAACATCGGTTTTGGTCTTGGTCTGGCGAAAATAGTAAGACCAAAACTAAAATCGAGACTGAACGAACAAGACCAAGACTGAAATCAAGACCGAATATACAAGGCCAAGACCAAATACACAAGACTAAACAAAAAATTATAACTTCCGGTGGATTTGTGAGTTAAACTATTTGAAGTAAATACCACAAATGGCGCGGTAAACGCCATCTGTAGTACGATGCTACATTTTAGGATTACGTATGCTCCAACAAGGTTCATTTGTATATGGATATCTACTTGCTGAAACGAATCCCGGCGTAGCTAAACCATAATCAAATAAAATAATTCGAAGAAGACTTTTACCTGCTGTCTTAAAAGTTAGTCTCCGACATTGTCTGCGACGCGCTGATGAGATCCAAAAAGATCGAAATCGCGATCCGCGTCTGGCAGTTTCGACAGAATACAGACCACTTCGAATTATTTTATTTGAAGTAACTTTAATCCCGACTAGAATTCTATTTAGGCATTCCTAAATGCGAATGCGGACCCAATTAGGAAACACTGAAGCAAACGAAGCCTCATGTTCAGGTATTACCCCATGAAGTTTTTGTGTGGAACATTGTAGGCACGCCTAAGTTAGGCGCCACTGCGTAATTTTTAATACGAACCTTAGCCTGATAATGTAAGGCTGCCTAAAGTTACCCCACCTTCGGCCTGACATTGAACACGTGCGAACTTTGATAAGTATAGGGTTATTAACGTTATTCAACCCGAAATATTTCGGCTATGCTCCTAGACTTTTAAAAAATTTTATTGTGGAGGTAGATAAGCATCCATAAGAGGTACATTTTAAAATTATTTTCATAAGATACAGGGTGTCTCAAAAACACAAAACGTATCAAAATTGTGTTTTTTAAATGGAACACTATATATTTTTACATTTTTAGATTCTATAATCAAAATAACAAAGAGTTTCGTTGAGGTTTATTTCACCTAAACCTTAAGGATTTTTAAATATTTTGAGTTTTGTGAAAATGTATTAATAAATTTAACTTTTAAATTCTCAACGTATTTACCACCAAATTAAGACCAAATTTAAATTGAAATCTATTAATTGACCATGTTTTCTGCCGCTACTGTGAAAAATTGACTAACGTATACAGGAAGTCTAAAAATTATGATTAAATTTTAAACGACAATAACTTATTTAGTTTAAATGTAACATCCTGTATTTTATGTCATCAGCAGTTGTAAAATTTAATTCTCTAGCGAATACTATTATACCTTCGTGTAATTAGCTGTTGACGTTTTTATGAAAAATGCACATTTTCAGAACGCAAAGCGATTTTAGTAGATTTAATGTAATTTATCAAGTCAGCTATGACATTTTGACAAGTCAGAATTACATAACACAGCTGGTATAAACTAAAAACATTTGAATAACAATAATAAATATTTATGGACTAACTTAATGGAGGAAAGCAAAAGGTTGATGGAAATACAACAAACAATACTGTCACATAGCGTGCGTTGGACATGACGCCTGCCTGCTTCTAAACATATGCAAACATATTACCTGATATAAGTCCTCAGCAACATTGGCCAACAATTGTAGATCGTGGATCTATGATTCTTAAAGCTCCTGTACCTAATGTGCTTCTTCAGCAATTTCTTTTACAAAAACCCATAAAACGTTTCAGCATTGACCCCTACCATCGCCAGACTTTATTCCACCAAATTTCATTTTATGGGGACATGTAAAAGGAATTGTTTTTTTAACATATCTTCAACAACGCCAGAGAATATGAAGCACCGCATTACAGAAGCTTTAAGAATCACAGATCCAAGATCCAAATGTACCTTATGGATCCTTATCTACCCCCCCACTATAAATTTTTTTAAAAATCTAGAAACATAGATGTAATCTTTTGTGTCGTATGATGTGAATAACCCTATAGGTATATTCGTTTCCTGGATTTTCAGTTTCCTTTACTAGATTTTAACGCTAAATATATAAAAAACAAAAGCAAGTTTTACCACTTAAAAAAAAAAGAATCTATAAGAATGTCCTCGGAGCAAGTGTTCTTTGTTCCTAAGTCTGGATAACGCCTTTTTTTCCGATATTTTTTACATCTTTCAAGAATCTTGTACTTTTGTTCGCTAAGATATCAATTTATGCATTGAAGGAAGGATTAATTTATAAATTGAAGGAAGGGTTTTCTTAACTCTGACAATTATCTACACTACTTTCTTCATATTTTAAAGAATTACGTAACTATCTAAATAAATAATCGATTACTTACAATAATCGGTATTACTCTGCGATTTCGACTTCCGAAAGTATCCATTAATTTTGCTGTGTCCACAGCCCATGTCTCAATGGATATTACGTCATTAGTCGTCGCATTACAAGCGCGGCGAAATGCTTTCTCATCCACATCTTATTGTGCATTTGAACGCACCACCTGATGCATTACTTCCATGGTCACCTGGAATTAATAGATATAAAAATAGTAACGATATTGAAAAAACATTTTTCTTCATAAAACTACCTTTAATAAACACAAAAAATCAATGATGGTAAATGTCTAGATGATGGGTGGGATCGAAAGAGGAGGTCTCCCCCACCACTGTACCATAAAAAGTTCGTGGCAGTCTCACCCGCATAAAAAGTTATAGGGGTTACATGGGGGTGGGGGTAAGGGGGAACGAAAGCGGGTAGGGGGGATATAAAGAGGATGGTCACCTGAGTAAAACCCCAGAAAAAGTTTGCAGCGGTCTCACCCCCCTTAAAGAGTTATGGAGGTTGAAAGTTGATTATTTTGACAATTTTCATACACTATAATTCAAATAAAATTCAATAAAATAAATATTTTCAAGCGGGTGGAGGTGGGGAATCGAAAGAGGGTGGTCACTTGAACAAAACCCGATAACCTAATCTAACCTAACCTAACCTACCTTATTGAGAAAGATATTTAAATAATGTTTTATATAACTTTCTCAATATTTTTATGTATTTTTCATTTAGTTTTACCTTTGAATATTGTTTAAGAATGACTATATAAATATTTACATGCCCAGAAATGTATAAAAATTGGCATATTTATTAACTTTGAACCCCTATAACTTTTTATGGGGGTGAGACAGCCACGAACGTTTTATGGTACAGTAGTGGGGGAGACCTCCTCTTTCGATCCTCCCCACCTCCACCCCCTTCGGGAGTGGGGCCATCATCTAGACCTTTACCTCAATGATTTATGAAAATATATGTACACCTATTGCACCCTAAAGTCAATAGAAAACGTTAACAATGTAAAATGTACGATATCTTAAAAAGTATTTACGAGGATTAGCATTTACTAATGTGCAAAAGTGAACGAAAGGGAAAAATCGCATGAGTTCCTCTCGTCACGTTTGATTTATTTGGGTATTTTTTATTAAAGAACTATAAAGAAGTCTTACCATTCTCTATCGAAAAAGGTGTCCTTACCGAGAATATCAAAAACGTAAGGATAATTCACTTAACAGGACGAACGGATAAGTTTTGATGTATTCAGGCAAAATAATTTAGTAAGTTTCACACTGACGATCTCTTTATACTGTTATTCCAAAGAATCCGCTGATTTCAATCTACCTGAAGTTTTCAGGATTTCGTTTACTTTAATTAAAATGTTTTTAGAGAATATAAATTAAAATGATAATAAAAAACTTCAGATCTAAATTGGGTAAAATAAAAAGTACTTGCACCTAATTATTAAAAAAAAAGCAAAGAAAACGGAATGGATATGGGACAAGATAGAAGAAGTTAACGAATTTAAATACCTAAGATATACGTCTAAAGGACACATGAAAGATATAGATGAGGCAAATATGGAGCATATTAGGAGAAGTTAAATCCGAAGAAGATTTTACTAAAAGGATGCTTTTAATGTCATGGTGAAAAGTATTCTGTTATGAGTATTAAGAAAAAAAAAAGATAGAAGCGGTACAAGAAAAATATTTGAATAATATATTTGGCGCACTCCAGGTTATATATATATTTAGATAAATGAAGCTAAGATAAAATTTATAGTAGGTGACGAAAAAACACTTGGATAAAATAGATGCAAAATCAGACCAAAGTAGTAAACGTTTTTGGAGTTAAATAAGAAATCTACTGGTGTTCCTGAAGCAGTATCCTTTGAAAATAAAAAGTCAAGTGTGGAAAGCTGTAACTTATTTGCTACGTATTTTAAATCTACTTATATAACTCCAACTACTGTAATTGTAACAGTATTATAAAAATGCTACAATTTTAAAAATTTTTGAGTTGGAGATCTTTCGAGTCTATGACAAATTAGATGATAGAGTCTAAACTGGTATGGATAACATTCTTAAAATTTTAACAAAAAAATGTGACCACTCCTTGCTAGGTCCCTGGACTGTTCCATTCAACGAGTCGATTAGGTTGGGGTATGTGCCTGGTGTACGCAAAGGGTCGTTTGTTACTCTGATCTTTAAATCTGGAAATAAATCTAATGTCCAAAATTATAGGCCCATTTCTTTACTAAGTACACTCTCTAAGTTGCTTAATTTGATTATGACTTCTAAGTTTTCTACTGTTTTCTTATAATATAGGATAGATCAACTTTGTCTTGTTAATTTAACATAATGATTTATTGTGATTACGTATCGAGTGCATTGAATGATCAGTATCAAGTTGATTCAGTCTATCTGGATTTTAAAAAAGCTTTCGATACGACGGTTGTATTCTAATGTGGTTCCGTTCGTACTTATCTGATCATCATCAGATCATGAGAATAAATTGTCACCTTTCTGATTGCTTAGCAAATACCTCGCGGATTCTTCACGGGTCACATCTTGGTCCTACTTTCCTATTTATAATATTTTGTTGAAGAAATTCAAAACATCATTTAAGATGCAGCTAGCTAAAACTCCTGTATTATAAACGAAAGGGCGGAAATATGAAGGGCTGGAAAGTGGTAAGTTGGTACAGAATAGGAAGGGAATGGAAGAAAAGCACATATTGACAAGCGTTAGCAAAAGTCTATGCAGATTATGTGAAGAGAATGAGGAGACGGTGGAACATTTGCTGTCATTACGCAAAGTATCAAGAACGGACTAAAGCATGGAGAAAATGACACGGGATCAGCGAATGGAATTGGGTTTCGTGAAGAGCGTACCTATTAGAGATAATAGGACATATAAATATACATAGTGTTTCTGAAATGATTAGTAGCCCTGCAGGAGGTGAAAGGGGACTATAAAATAAGAAAATTAAGTAAATGTTTACAGGTTTGAAAAATCATCGTTTTTGAAACGTGGTTGAAAATATATGTTAATCTAAGTCCGAAAAACTTATGCAACACTGCATTGCCGTATTAAATCAGCTGGTAACTAGCTGCATCAGTGTTGTATTTTTTATGTATTTGTTTGCTCATGTATTGTTTAATATTTGTTAGATTAGATTAACATTGATTTAAGATGTTTACGTTTCAGACAACTGCAGTTAGTAGTTATTTGCCCCACTGTGTCCTTGTTAACGCAAGTTCAAATTGTACAATAAGTACAAGGTACACCCTACATTTGCGGATCGTGAATGGCGAAGTCCGAACCATACCTTCCTTCGTTGTAACTTCTTATCTCAATTTGATGCGTAGGTACAGACTTACTGTTCGTTTCAAGAAGTTGGAGATATGCCCCTTCACTTTATTAGGATGCGCCGTAGCATAATTCCAATCATATTTGTCTGCGTAGCTCATTCCTTCACCGATCATCGAGCGAGAGCTAGACAAAAGTGTACAGTACCATTTGCAAAATTATTTAAACTGCCTCGTTAAAATTTAAGAATATGCTTTATTTAAAAGCATATTTAGCCAAAAATAATAACAAGTGAATTAACTTAACGTTCTACACACCTATAAAGCTTTTGCTTTGTTTTCTATTGTTAATTTATATACATTTTTGTTTTAAGAAATTAGTAAACATTTTCGTCTAGTACTGTACAGTTCTAGCCGATCTCCTAAGACCGCCCATCGAGAGCTCTGCTCGTTCAAGCTTGTTCCAACTATTTCTGTCTTGCTCACGCCTAGTGTGTATTCCTTCTATCTTCGCGCAGATTTCTTCAAGGTCACAATTCAAACAAATTGAAGTGAGCTGTATATTGCTAATTCACGTCCAGAACCGGCTTTGGATCGTAACTTCTTGTTTTTTTAATAGGTTTTTTGTTCTATAATTACGCTGCGGTACTCACCATGCGATTCTCTATTCTCTATTGCATCTATTTAACAATCTACAAAGCTTGCTACTTATTTCAGAAACACCCTAAATAATAACCACATCATGTATCTCAGGAGATCATTATTTTAAATAAAAAAAATAAACAAATAAGTTAGAGCAAAGATGTTCATGCTTGTTTTATTTGCGAACTCATTTAAATAGGTATGGACTTTACTTAATTTCTTTAGAACAGTGAATTTATTTTGACATCATCTATTCATTTGTTTTAATTAGTTTATCATGTGCCTTTTATTTTTGATAAATATATGTTTTCCCTTAGAATCTTTTTTCCGTCTATCCTTTTATTGATGCAAGGATTTTAAACATATTAAGCAGATTTCTCTTAGAATTTTAACTCGTTAATTTGCGAATGTAATTCAATGAGTTGTTAAAGCTAAAGTTCGCCTAAAGCGCAAAGCCATTAATGAGAATGGATTGGCTTCTAAAAGGTCGAACCATAACGAGAATCGAATTGCATTTGTGGTTATTGGATCATTATTGGATTCTCTGATTGTATACCGCAATTTCGAACTGAATGAAGAATAAGCATAAATGATTTGTTATTATCCATACACCCGAAATGAGATCATCTTTGAATTCATTGTTGTTCTAGTTATTTTGTTATAATAATTAATAGAAACTCTGATAGAACAGATGGATATGATCACATAAAGTATTTGTTATCAAAAAAATATGAATCTGTGTAAGTTCTAAATTACGTATCCAAAGTGTTATTCTCAATTAAATTTAGATGTCGAAAAATTTTTTGGTTTTTATACATTTTATGGGGAATTTGTATTCCAGTGTTTTATTTAACTTTTTTTCTTTTAATTTTTGTCTTTACTGTGTGTATTTTAATCTAAAATAGATACTTTCAATGGGCACCTATACAGTAACAATTCTATCGTATGATTATTCCCCAAAGATTAAATCTGGTCCAATTCCGCATCTTCTGCTGTAAAAAGGTCATCTCGGTTTTAGGTAATTATTTATTCGTATTATGTTCATTGCATGTCCCTGAACAGTATTTAATGCACCAGTACATTTTTATATTTAAACTAGCCACACATCGCTAAATGCTTACAACTTTCAACCCCCACTTCTCCCTAAGCCCTACTTCTCTGAATTTCTATCACTTCAGCAATAGCTGATGACCATGTCGCCCGTTTAAATACTGTAGTTGATCTTTCGGGAAGCATTGTAGTATTGT